ACTTTTAAGAAAGTTTGCCAAAGTCTCTGTTTTCCACTAAAACGCTTTACTGCACTTTTGTGTATTTCTTAAATCAGTTCTATGGCGTTTATATCCAGCGTCCTCTTTTTAAAATACTCTGTTTGGATTTTGCATCTGGGAGTTCCCCCCCCCACATGCCCCCTTCCTATCCACTGGCGTTTGGATCACGACCCCGGGAGCTCACCAGGGTTGCATCCGCCATCATGCCGCCAAAAACCGGAAGTCCCCCCTTCCTCTGGATTTTCCATGATCTCAGTAAATATGTGATTGGGACCTCACATTTCACCGTTTGCAGAGATAACATCTAAATTGGGCCTTAAATCCTTTAAAAATAGGCCCCACAGAGGTGAAGAGAATCTGAAGTATATTCTGGGCATATAGAAGCGGATCAGGCAGGGTGTTATCCCAAGCTGTGAAGGCCAGTTTGCATCCAGATGAAGTGAGGGGGCTCCCTTGAACTGCTCCCCTTCATATCACAGTAACTGATTGGCAATGGGGAGAGGGTCTGTCTTTTAGGAAAGCCCCCATCCATCCATCCATCCATCCATCCATCTATCAATTCAATTTTTATCCTGCTTCTTTCCCCACCAGGAAGGTCTCAGCATGGCTTCCAACAATAAAATACAATAGTGTTGTAGTGTTTGTAGTCAGAAAATAATAAAAAATTATAAAAAAATAAAAATACAATAAAATACAATAAATCAACATGATGATTTAAAATTATACCTTACAGTTAAAACTTAAGAATCAATCATATCATATCAGATGGCACCCCAACAAACCTTCAAAGGTGGATAACCAGTACAGTGAGATTCATGGCCCAACAATGGGAAGGCCAGGTGATCTTTCTTGCCTGGTGGAACATCTTGGTCTTACAGGCCCTGCAGAACTGAGTCAAGTCCTGCAGGGCTCGAGTTTCATTCAACAGAGAGTTTTACCAGGTTGGCCCCAGCCCCAGTCAAGGACGCCCATGAGGAAGGAGAAGCGGTGTCTGCATGGATGTTGAAATCCCCCAGAACTATCAGTCTGGGATACCTCAAGGCCCACTCAGCTACTGTCTCTATCAGGTTCGGCAGGGTATCAGCTGGTGCACTAGGCAGTGGGTACACCAGCAAGATAGCCACACTGTCCTCAACATTCCATACTAGGCTTACACTATCATTGCCAGAGATCTCCAGGGTGGGGATTGCCCTGTAGGAGAAAGACAGAAAATAGCCGACAGGCTATTATTAATATTTTCAATGAGTGAAACTGTTGAGAAACTCTAGGATTCTCTGGGGTTTCAAAATGACTGAACATGCAAGCTACCACTTTAGTTAGGCCCAGGGTCCAAGTATAGGCAGGAAAATAGTCGTACCTTACCAGGGCAGACCACACAGTTGCAGGGTGGTGATCTGGTCAGCAGGCCTATTACCATGATATGGTCTTTTAATAGCTTTTCAAAAATAAAAATAGAATGCCCTTTATGACTTAAGAGATTGTATTTATATGTTGGAATCAGGCAGATTAATTATATCTGTCTGTCTGTCTGTCTTTCTGTCTGCCTGTCTATGCACACACACACACAATATAAACAGTTGTGATTTTTAAAAGACGTTTTTAGAGCCAGGCTTTTAGGATGGATATTGCTGCAGGGTAGCCTTATGATATTAAGATGCAAGGAAAAGACAGGCTCAGCAACAGGCAAAGAACTCTCATGGCTGGCTATGGGAAGGGAGAGCTAAGTGGCTGGAAGTAAGGAATGGGTGGATACGCACCTGCAGCATCCTCTCCTGTCATGAAGCTGACTAACAGGTGCACAGAGCAGGCTGAGTCAGAGATCTCAGCAAAGATGATGGCTGGCATACCAGTTGGAATGGGAAGTGTAAGAAGTCACATCAGATTTCCACAGTCTATAGGGCTAGACAAGGGTAAGACTATAGTAGCAGCTTTTTCCATTTACAGTTTTTGCCTAAAGTGCCAAAATATATTGTATAAATATACATTGTATACTGCAGTCATGTCAGTTCTGGTAATTGCAATGTACCTGTGAAACAATTTTCAAATTAAGAAAGGAACTTATTCTTTTCAACTTAATTTAAAGCAATGTGTGCTTTGTGAAACTCATAAGACTTTTAACACATTTGCAACAAGTTAACCATTGCATGTTTCACTACAATGTTCTTTCCCCTACAGAGCACAGCATATGCCTCTCACATGACTCAGGAGCAGGAGTCATTAAAAAGGCAATGGTGAGTTTGTCAAGTAAGAGTTCTTATGAATATACTTACAGAACTGGTTACAGAATTCTATAGTTACAGAATTGGTTGACTGAATGATATAACAATGAATAAAAGTAAAGGATTCTTCACAACTGGCCAGATGCATCTTGAATAGAGATTTCTGTGTTAATGTCTTTATATAAAGGCTGAACACATTATTGCCCAAGTAAATGCCTTTGGTTTCACTTGTCTGTGTGGCATTCCATTTGTGAGCTTCTGTGTTTATACCATAATTATTTAAATTAGAATGATATTAGAATGAAACTTGGTATGGCAGGTGTGTGTGTGTGAAGCAGGATCTTTCAGGGATAGCTCTGCCAGCTCTATACTATCCAGAATAGTTATTAGAATGTAGATATAGGGAGGTTTTGTGGCTCACTGCATCATACCATTGGAATCCTAACTGGTTGATTGTTTGGAGGAATCAGAATCAGAGATCATAGAATGTTAGAGTTGGAAGGGACCTTGCAGGTCATCTAATCCAATCCCCTGCACTCTGCAGGAGTATACTGAAAGATAGCCCTACATACCTACAACATACCCAAAAGATGGTCGTCCAGCCTCCGCTTGAAAATGTCCAGCGGAGGAGCATCCACCACTTCCCGAGGCAGACTGTTCCACTGCTCAACCACTCTTACAGTTAGGAAGTTTCTCCTGATATTTAGCCGATAACGACTCCCTTGTAATTTCCACCCATTAGATCTAGTCTTGCAATCTGGAGCAAGAGAGAAAAGATCTGCTCCATCTTCTACAAGATCCTTGATTGCTTGGCTAAAACCCATACTAGAACATGGATTTCTTGAAGGTTTTCTGGCTTGCTATGTTGTTCTCTCGTCCTACATATTGTGTGGATTTAGTTGCTTTACATTCTTCAAAAGTAAGTGTTCTAAGCCCCACTTCCAGATTGGCCATAACAAAAAGTCTTTGCAAATTTTGTATGTCATATACCTTTCCCATCTAATGTTACCTCTGGATATAGACATTTTGATGGTTTTGATGTCTTAGAACCCAACATTCTGAGCCAACAGGCATAGAACAAGGTTGTTTTTGTTGGTTAAAAACAGTTATGGTTTGGAAAGGCAGCAATTATAGGTGCTGGTCTTTCAGGAAAACCTGAAACAGAACTGTTATGTATTAAGTTCTGCATTAGCTTGAGTTCTGAAACAGGATTGTAAATACACCAATCAGAGCTGCACAATGTTCTGGAGGGAAGCACTCTGATTGGACCTTATATGTAAATAGTGATTGGTTAATATCTGACTTGTGGGCGTGGCTACCCAAGCCCGGACTGTTTAAAAGAGAGCCTGTTGCTCTGTATGTTTGTCTGTTCTGATTTCTTCTGACTTCATTAATAAAGCTGATTCACTGTTCACAAGCTGTGTTGAGTCTCATACTTAACAATAACCATAGAAGAATACCTTTTTTAGGACTTAGAAGCCTTAGGAAGAAGCAGGCAAGCTTTTGCACTCACTGGAACTCCTCTATGGACTGGAAGTTCAGCAAAAAACCAAAGGGTTATAAAGGAGATGCTACTGAGACTAACCTGTAAGAAGCAGTCTGCAGTTTGTCATAGCCTTAAGACAGAGTTCTTCAGCAGATTGGATTAATTACTGGTGTTTATATTTTCAAAAGGAGAGCTACTATTGCTCCTTTGTCCAGTAGCTTCTCTTTTTTTTATAGAATGCCTGTTCTGACTTTGAGTGTGATTAGAATGATGGACTGCCAAAAAATCAAACAAGTGCATTCTAGGTTAAATGAAGCCCAAATTCTTCCTAGAAGCATAAGTGGCTATTGTATTTTGATCACACCATGACAAGACTCACTGGAAAAGACAATAGTACATCTTTATATCTGGTTGTAAACAACACAGAAAGGTGGGGGAAATGTATAGGAAGGGTGGACAGAGAGTTGGGGAGAGAAGAGATTTAGAATGAGTAATGTAGGGCGGAATTGTCAACAAGTCACAGCCAACTTTTGGCGACTCCTCATGGGGGAAGGGCTAGAGGAGGATCAAACATGAAATGGATTGATTCAATAAAGGAAGCCATGGCCTCCAGTTTGCAACACCCGAGCAGGCCTGTTAATGATAGGACATTTTGGAGGTCTGGGTTGCCATAAACTGGAAATGACTTGATGGCACATAAACACAGAATGATACAGCCTAAGCTATACAATGGCAGTCTCAATCAGAAAGGCAAATTATGGATACATTTGTCTAAGCCAAATCAGCCTCTCAAAGACGCAGATTCTTGTTTTCTTTCTTTCTTGTGTGAGTCACTGAAGAAGCAAATATTGGATGCTGCGCACTGTAATATACAGGAAGAAGGGGGGAGGGACAAAACTCTTTGCAGCAAGATCCTATTGGTGTTTACTCTGAAGTAAATGTTACGGATTCCAATAAGTCTTCTTCCCAAGTAAGCGTGAGAAGGCTGAGATAACATCCCCCTGAGATAACATCCAAGAAGGAACGCGTGCGGAAACGCTGCCTGCGTGAGGACGCTTCCCTGTCACTCTGCGGTCCGCCTGGGCCGAGCCTTGGGGCGGCGGAGAATCTCCCGAGGCCGGCCGCGGAGAAGCCGCTAACTCTCGAGCGCCTCCTGGTGAAGCGCCCGCGGCCTTTTGGAGTCTCCCCTCCCTTTCCCCTCAGTCCCTGCCGCCGCCGCCGCCGCCGCCTCCTGGGCGGGCCTTGGATCCGCCTCCAGCCGCTTGCGGGGGTGAAAGGAACATGGTGGCCGCTTCCTCCCTTCCAAGGAGCCGCCAGAGCGGCGAATCTGGTCGCTCTTGAGGCGCTGGGGAGGCTGAGGCCGAGGCAGCGGCCGGAACGGTCCCTGAGTTTACGTGAGGTGAAGGAGCCCCGCGTTTGGCTCCGCCACTGCAGGTGAGTCACCCAGAGAGGGAAAGGTGTGTGTGTGTGTGTGGGGGGGGTGACAGGCAAGTAAGCAGGGAGGCGCCTGGCTGCTCCCGGTGGCTTGCCGTGCCTGTTCTCTGTGCCTGCTTTTGCTCCTCTCTTGGTGCGCCTTGCCCCCCACCTCCTGCCTCCCCCCGGGCTTCGGGAACAGGTAAACCCGGCTTCGGCGTGCCCCGGGGGAGGCAAAGCTGGGGGCGGTGAAGGGATGGACTGACGGCGACGATAGTTATTTAGTAAACACGCACTTCGCCTCTGATCAACCCCCCCCCCCATCTATTTTCTCCTCCCCTCAGCGGCTGGGGGTTGCCAGATCGGTTTTGCTTTTAAAATGAGGTGTGCTGCGTTGACTTACGCCAAGTCAAATGCCTGACCCGCCTTCTCCAGGGAGGTGTTTTTGGAAGCCCTTGGAGGGGTGGAGACCGGGTTTTATAGCCCGTGCAGAAGTCGGCCCAAATGAGTTCAGGAGGAATTGGTTCCAAGTAAACGTGCTGTCTTATTGCGTAATCGTCTGCATGTCTACTCAGGAGCAAGCCCCGCTATGTTCAGTGAGGTATATTCCCAGATAATCTCTTCACACTTCTTGTGAGTGGCTTTCTCCTACCTACACATGTCCTTACCTGCCCAGGTTTTCTGTGTGGTGCTTGGGAAAAAGCAAGTCTCTGAGAAGAGGCCTCACCCTGTTGTAATGGTTTGATGCCTGTTCCCACCCCCACTCCCCTTACAAGTATTTATGTGTAACATCAGTGATTTTATTCTTATGCAAAATGGCATATGGGCAAATGGTTATTCCTACAAGCTAATCTTATAGGTCTTTGTAACTCCTCTCTTCAAGCATCATCTGTGCACAGTAGTAAGGAATATGGTTGCTAATTATACACTTCAGACTCTGTTATGGTCAAAATCTTCCTGGTGCAAGTAAGCAAAGTTTTAATTATCTAGCTGAATCTAAATACCTGGTGAAATTCCTGCTTAGAGTTGCTTCTGTTTCTCTTTCCCTCTCTTCCTCCCTTCCTCCAGCTCTTGGCTTGCTCTGTGCCCAGCAGATGGAGGATTAGTTAGTTGAAAGGGGACCTCCTTGAATGCCAGCACAAAAGATACAGACAGCAGGTGTTGAGGTAAGGTTCTGGGCACTTTCTACCTTATCTTGCTTTGTTTTCCCTTCTCTAGCCCCTCCCTTCAGCCCCTGTGTGATTCCACTTAACTCTTGCAGGAAGTTGTGCAAGGAATCCTAATCACCGATTCTTAGAAAACAACAATAATAGGCTAGTTACTATGATGTGCATGAGTATATTTGACTCTTGGTTGTATTTTAACAAGCAGATTCAAAATGAAAGTGTACTTCGCCATGTCGTTCAGGGTTTCTGTTTACAGCATGCGTCTGGGGACTTGGTTATGTGAACTACTATTGTTTGGTGTGTACTTAACAGTACCTTGAGGCAGTTCTTGGCAGTGTTGCATAATGTTCCAGTTTACTTCAGAAAATGTTGGGATGTTGGCTTATGGTGATCTTTCAGTGAAGAACTAGTTGCCTTACCTTACCTACTTATTTAATGTTGGTGCTCCTTCTGGCTCAGTCTCTTTTTTTGCAATTTCGTTGGTTGCAGTTATGGATGAATTAAGGTGCATGCTGACCAAGTTAACTGACTACTTCAGTAGCTAGTTAGCATGAATGAGACAGCTAGGTCCATTAGTAGTTTGGGAAACTGGAAGATCCAGACCTAGAACAATGAATATGTGTAATACATATTCTGCCTAGTATGGGTAATGCTTCATGCATCTGATGAAGTGGACTGTAGTTCACCAACACTTATGCCACAATACATTTGTTAGGTTCTAAGCTGACACGAGATTCTTTTTGATGGCAGTAAATAAATGTGGCTACTCCAGATCTGGATGCGAAGGAACCGCTCGGCTAAACTGACCCGACTACTCTGAGATTAAGGATACTGACTCTAATAGTTGCACCGTGGTTTTTAAAAAGTTGGTGTCAGCTGCCCACGCATAAATCAAAATAGGAACTAGACTAGACACAAGACAGAGAAATAAACATGCAGTTTAAGAATAAAATTTAAAAGGGCTGTGATAAAACACTGTGTTTTTATACAGACAGTAACAAAGAACTAAATTAGATCTGACGGTGAGAGTTCTTTGTGTTCAACTATGACACTGCCCCAATCATACACGAAAACAACAAGTGGGCTGTACGGGTGAGGGAAGACAGAACCATCGTTCTGCCCACGGCTTTTCTCTGTAGCTAAGCTCCAATACCAGAAGTGATCTCTAGTGGATTATGGAAAGAGATAGACAAGAGGAAGAAAATGGACACAGGGAAGGTTTGGCACCATTAATCTGCAGACCAGTTTTGCTATTAATATCAGATCTCTCTCTCTGTGCAGTTGGAGGGTCTGCTTGGAAATTATCACAGTTGTACCAAGTTTAGCTCTAAATAGCCTTGTTCTTTACGTCGTAAAATATTCTTAAAAATGGAATAACTACAATTTCCAAATAAAATTTGCTATTTAATATTGCTGAAATGGCATGTGAATGTATATGTCTAATATAATACCTTGTTATTGTCGATAACTTTTTTTGTCTAATGCTATGATGCATTTTTTTGGGTAAAATTATAATACTGGTGGTGATACCAAAAACAAAATGGGTTTACTTTGTCAAACACACAAGAATGTCCCATGGTCAGGCATTAGTCTCCCTCTCCCCCTCTCCTCTTTTCTGAGGGATCCTTTCCATGTGATTAGGCATTTTACATGATGGCTTGCGCCTTCTTTGTAATGGAGGGAAGGGTTGCATTAAGGTATATTATGAATCGTATAAGATGCTTCGTTAATATCTTGAATAACTAACTATGTCTAGCAGTTAAATAGCTTGTATGTAGCCATAAATTAGGGTTCACTGATATGTTTGAAGCTGGCGTGACAAGTGAATAATTTGTAGTATAACATTTATTTTCTGTGCATCAGTATACTTGTTGAAATATGACATTCTGCTATTGAAGTAGCAAAGATACGTTTGCAGAAAGCCAAGTGACACGTTTATTAATACTTTGTTTCAACACATTTGTCATGTTTAAATCTTAAATTGTCTATAGTTGCTGGTACTAAAGATTCTGTGTGGACTTTCAGTTTTTGGCTTTACACATTAAGCTTGCCATTCTTTATATTTTTAATCTTTATATTCAAACATAGTCTGATGTATGAAATCACATTATTTTACTGTTCTGAGTGGCTGAAGTACCTGGCATATCTGGATACATTCAGGAGAGCTTAGAAGGCACCGATCTTGCCTTCTTATCTTTCTCTTCCGCTACAGATTTGTATCAAGTTCTGAAGTGCTTTATGCTACTAAATTTGCCGATGAGGCACTGTGCTTTAAGAAAGGATGGGCATGAACCAGCTCACAGACTAAAGTTTGTGATGAATTTTGGCCAGTTTGTGGTTCGCGAAATGATGTTTGTGAACTGATGAGCTGCTACAAACCTCCACAGATTTTGATGCTGTTCATGGCGGTTTGTGACAAGCAGAAAGCAGGAGTTTAAATGGCTCTGAACCATTTAAAACCCTGCTTTCTGCTCTTCATGAAAAACAGCTGAGCTGTTTAGTTTAAATGGCTCTGAGCCAATTAAACCTCTGCTTTCTGCTCCCCACCAAAAGCAGCAGTGAGCAGGAAGCAGGGGTTTTAATGGCTCATGAACATTGCATGCACTATGGGTTAACCTTTTGGAAGATAGCTGGTTTGTTACTACTTGCTAGAGGTTTTTGTTTCACTAAAAACCCAGTGACATAGTTCTTCAAAGTCTGGAACGAGAGTTAGCATTACGATTGCCAACATTTTGTACTTAATAGTAACTCTGAAAAAGTAAACAGATGAAGAAATTAGTAGGGACTGTTTACGTGGCAGGGAGCTGCCATGGATCAATAGTAGACTACATCTTTTGTGTGAACAAGTCCAGGCGGCATGGGCCTAGGAAAGGCTTCTGCTATCTCTGAGTAGGTGATACTGGGTTAGATAAACCTGTGACCTGATACAGTACAACAGCTTCATATGTTAATTCATGCAATATGTTCAGAACTGAGGTAGTAAATATATGTTTATGTATATGCATAGGTGATGTGCTTGTAAAGGTGGCGAGCAATGGAAATGAGGAACAAATAGATTTTTTTTTAGCTAGATCTAGAAGAAAATACTAGGCAACTAATTTTTAGTGTAGCAGAGACATAATGTCTTGTTTGTTTGAGTTCTAGACCTTATTCTGAAAGCAAGTATTTCAATTTGAGTGCCTAAAGAATGGCACATCTAAAATAATACATTCTTTTATAATCCCCATTTTGGGGATTTGGAAGACAACTTTGTAAAGGAGATTTGGAAGACAACATTGTATTGGGTTACTTTTCTTTGAGAAGACATTCCAGGAGGTCTATTGAATATCTAAAACATTACAAAACTACAAATAATGTGTGGTGGGGTCAAATACAAACTTCAAAACTTGTTTCCTGGCAAGTGACATGTACTATGTGTTCCGGTAGCTTGCAGTTGGCCATCAAAGGATGTTAAGCAAACACTTTCAGCTATCAAGCTATATGAAAACCAAGAGAGAAGGTCATTTTTACATGTCCAGAGATCATGATTGCATCACTTTTGTTGATAGGGATAGTATTCATTTCATGCCCCTCTCTCTTAGACAGCATGTTTTGTCTTTTTTGTTTTTACTTAAAAACTGCAGTACTCCCAAATTGCTTTAAAAGCATGACATACGATATAATATAGAAAAACAATAAAACCATACTGCAGAATAGAAAAGAACAAGAGTTGTGAGAAGCAGCAGCAGAAAACAATGCAAGGCGAAAACTAAGTCATAACATATCATACACAATGCAGACTGTGGGTTATAGAGGCAGAAGACAGTGCAGTAGAAGGAAGAAGAAAACATAAAATAAACACTGTAACAGACTACA